GTGGGTGGGTGCAGTGTTACTGCATGTTGTTCTTGTCGCTGGGCCCAGCATTACAGGGAGGTGTGTTTGTAGCTGTGCCTGGTGACAGCGTGTGGCACTGCTGCATGGTCCCAGCGAGGGGTGGGGGCTGTGTGAGCACTGTGAGGATGCTGAGCATTTAAATACAGATGCTTTACTGCCTTGGTGTGTCCTGCTTCGCTTGGCAGCGTTCGACTCAAGGTAGCTGGGATTGGCATTGTGGCACTGTTTGTTGGTGAGCACGGTGAGGTTGCTGAGCATCTATGTGTGGGTGCTTTCCTGCCCTGACGTGTTTCCACGTGGACACATTTACCCAACCTATCTGTGGCTCTGTATGTCCATCTGTGTGGCTGTTTGGCTGGGCACCAGGAGGTGGCTCTGGGGACCACGCACAGCAGTGATGCTGAAGGTGACACAGGCTGATGCCGGCCAATGTCTGCCCACGAGCTGTCGGTTTTATAGCCCTATAAAAGGCAGCTGACAGCAGAGGTTCCGATTTCGGAGGCTCCAGCAGAGCTGGGAGGAGCTGTATTGGTGCTGAGCTTTAGTGTGACGTCAGGAGGCAGAGCTGGGCTGGGATTCCCAGTGTGCCAGGGGCAGAAGCTCACTGCTTGCCTGCCTCTCCCTCCTGGGCACCACGCGCAGTGCCAGCCCAGGCCCCAGGGTGCTGTGTGCTGCAGCACAGCGTGCGGAGCAAACAGCGCAGCTCCGTGCTCTGCTCTTCAGCTCTCCTCCCTAAGCGTGGCCTCTCTCTTTTGCTTTTGTTTGCTTTCTCTTCCCTGCACGTTTCTTGCCACGTCCACTCGTGTGTTTCATTCTGGTAGGGATGTGCATGCTTCTCTGGAGGTCGGCCAGGAGCTTTGGCTCAGGCTGTGCTCGTGCTCACTGTTTTCTCATGGGCAGTGCCAGAGGTGGACAGGTTGGCACAGTGGGGGCTGTGGGAACAGCAGCAGCAGCAGAATCCTACTTGAAGCCTGGGCATTTCACACCAGGCTGGGGCAGAGCTGGGGATGCACCATCCCTTCCCGGCTGCGCGTGGCACTGTTACTCTCATGCTTGTGGGAAAGCTGAGCAATGGGCTTAGGGGTGCTTAATCTTACGCAGATTCAGCTGAGTTATGAGGTCAGAAACAGAGAGATACCCTCATTCTGCAGCAAGGCACGTAGGAGAAGCTGGGGATCCAGGCAGAGCAGAATAAATCTTATGGGAAAGTTGAGCTCCTTGGAAACATTCACCTTGGATAGGTGCTCCCAAAGCTGGGAATGACAGGCAACCTGTCCCGTGGCCCATCTCCACGTGAAAGAAGGGGGATCTTATTGTAGAGCTCGATCCCTGCACGTAGCCCAGCTGGGTGCTGCAAACAGGTATGAGAGCAAAAGGCAGCGCCTGGTGCAGGCCATTCTGCTCAGAACTCCCTGTGGAGCTCCTGCGCCTGGGTCCCCCACCACGACCAAGGGATCCTGGCTCTTTTTTTATAGAGACTCCCCACCGAGGTAGACGCTAGTTAAAAGGTTACTGCCCAGCTGTGAAATATGTAGACAGGGTAACGGCTAAATGGCGGGGTGACCTCATATCTCATATTTATTGACTAAATGTGGCTTGAACTAGTCACCACCAGTAAAATAAACCACAGCCCCGAGTGCTGCAGGAATATTCCACGGCAGACAGACTCCTGACTCCTTGTCACACTCTTTCTTTCACTTGATTAAGAAAAAATACCTTTTTTTCCCACTAATCTTGCTTCATAGGGCCTGTAGAAACCCTTTCAGGGCAAGCTGATGTTTTCCAATGAGAAGAAGCTGGGAATCTCTCTGGTTTTACACTAGAAGAGAGGGCGAGAACCATCCCTGTGGTTTTTGCTTTTGCCAGCACCCATCTCAGCATGGATGTACGAGGGCTGATGTGTGAGGCTGTACAAGGGAGTGTGAGGGGTGGGAGCTGGGTTTTGTGACCTCTACATCATAGTGCTGTCACAGAGATGAGTAATAGATCTGAAAAATCAGAAGGCAGTTCTCAGGTTCTCCCGGCACAAAGACACTGTGGTATAAAGGCAAAGTGAGAGGAGAACTGAACTTGTTTGGCACCAGTTATGTCTTCCTAAGCATCTCTGCTCGTGTTCTCCAATTCTGGTGAACCATTTCTCATCACTTCAGAACACAAATCCTGCAAAGTGTCTGCACTCTGCTCATTAGCTCATGGTCATCTGTGGTGCCCCGAGGGGATGGCAGTGCCACGACCACAGTGCTCTCAGCTGGAAAAGCCAGAGCACGTTGCAGGTGTTGCTATAATGTCCTGTCTGGGATTACCGTGCGGTCAAAAGTTCTGCTGCAGTGTTTCCCTTTGGATATTTACATGTGCACGGAGGGATGCTGAGTATTGGAAAAAGTCGGGCTTGGCACCGGGTTGGGATGCAGATGTTAAATCACCAGCCCACGTCAGCTCAGGGTGCGCAGTAGCATCTCAGCTGAGCCATGGAGTGCTGCAGATGCATGGGGTGGCTGTGGGGTAGGAATTGGCTGCAGGTTTCTAGGGATGTGCTGGTACAGGGATGGGGCAAAAGCCCTTCTGGTCACGGCACTGGGACCTTGTGCTGACTGCTGTTGTTGTTAGCTCTTCAATATGCAGGTGGCTAATGAGAATCAGAAGGGAGAGAACATTCATTCTTCTCTAGAAAACCAGGTCACTGAGAGGTGTGTTTGTTTGTTTGTTTTTGTGGTAGAAGAAATGTGGATTCTTTTTTTTTTTTACTAATGAGTAACATTTTGAAAGGGAAACACATATTATAAAGCCATTATAAATGTCCTGACAAACAGCACTACTGCATTTAGAGAAGCACTGTTGCAAGTGGTGGAGCTTGTTGACTGCCATTTTTAATCAAGAAAAATTGCCTCAGTTGGTTGCTTGCTGCTATTACTTTCTGATTTATTTATTTTTTTTTAATATTTTTTTCATTCCCTCTGTCCCTGTGGAGGAGGTTGGTGTGATTTATCAGTAGTGCTTACTCTGCCCGTGATGCACAGAGGTTGAAGGTGTTGCTGTGATGTGTTTGTGCTGTTCAGTTTCATCCATGCCTCTCGCAGCCCCGATTCTTCAGCGCCGTAACACAACACCTTAGGGCTGGGGCAGCTGAACGTCCCCTGGCTTGGGCTGAGGCCATCGTGCTTCATGGTTTCCACCTGAGGCCATAAATCATGCTGGAGCTGGATTAAAACTTTGGTTAGATCCACTGGCAGTTTTGCTGTTTTCACTGAACCTTGCGATGATTTGGACGTGAGCTGAAGATTTATGCGTATTTGCAGAGCCCACGGTTCCAGGTCAGAGCTTGGACTGAGGCACTACCAGGGAATCATTGCTTCCCTGAACGTCTTTGGTGGCCTCTCTGAAGCGAGACGTTGCAAGGAAAACGCATCCAGAGCTCATCTCCCCGCTGAGTCTCCTCTGAGAAGTGCGAGACTCGATAAAAGGAGTCTGAAAATGCTGATACAAACATTGCTTGGGGAAATGTGCTCTGCTCTCATTCTTAACAAAGGCAACGTTGGAGCCCGCTTGTAATAATGCCAGGAGGAGTGTATGGGCAGGAGCAGAAAGTTAATAGTGGAACAGAATATAGGTTTGTTTTTCTTTTTTTCACATGCATTCAGGAGTGCTGGAAGGCTGGGATGGCAGGGGAAGCCCAGCTCCCTGTCCCTGGCACCAGGACCAATGGGTTGACATGATACCAGTGCTTGCACCAGGGTGGTGTCCCTCAGGATGTTCTTTCCCAGGGCATCTGAAGTCTCATGAAAGGTTTCTTGGGTAACCTGCTCCCTCTGTTCCTTTGGACTTTGCTGTATGAGCCCTCAATGCAATATGCATCGCCCACCATCTATCCAACTGTCCACTTTCCATCAGGGTTCCTTTCTGTATTTACTCAGATGTTGCTGTCAGAGCTCAGACCATGGGTGAGGTCATGTTTTGGTGCACGGGCAAGAGGATCAGGGCTGCACCCTTGGGGTGCTATGATCACAGTGCATCTCCCATGCAGTGCCCCACGGCTCTCATGTGCCGACCTGCATACACGCAGTCCAGCACCAACTGATCCCCAGAGCTGCTCAGGAGGAATCGGAACTGTAACAATATGGCAGTAAAAATTAATGAAAAGCCATCACTTTAAAAAAAAAAAATATATGGAAAAGCAGTTATTTATTTATACCTTGGGAACTAGGAATAATACACCTGCTTCGTAGGGATGGTTGGCATAAAGCTGGCATTGCATAGTGGTACTTAATAATTTTTTACCACACTTTATAGGCTCTTTCCTGCAATTAATGCTAAATAAAGTCAACATTTCTCCAACTTGCATTTCTGGCTCTCATTAACTCCCTTCATGCCATTCACCATCTCCTTCTCTCCTGACATCTTTAATTCTTTTGTGTTTTTCTTCTAAATGTTTCTTCACTTCTTCATAGTGTCTGTATTCTTACCTGTTCGCCTCATTTTTTTTCTCTCCCATCTCTGACACTCCTGAGCATTCCACCTGTGAGCAGGGATCCAGGAGCACCAGACAGGACTGGGCATCCCTGGATGCAGCACCCCAGGTTGGGCTGGATGCAATGGAGAGGTGGGGAGATCATGCAGCACCCTGGGATAAGGCTGCTCTGAGCTTTTGCAGGGGCTGTGGTATTTCATCCAGCAGCTATGTGAAGGGCTGAGTGCATTGCCACAATATGTCTGGCAGCAGTGTCCTGCACAGGGCCTGCTTCCTTGCTGTGAGCCTGCTCATTGCCTCCACACATCCATATCAGAGGTGGGAGCAGTGAGTTATTGTATGTCTCTGGAATCTGACTAATCTCAACTTCAACGTAGTATTAATAATTTAATGTTCCCTTGCATCTAACATTTTCTTGCCTCCCACGTAGCCTGATTAAAGGGTTAGAGATTTGCCTCAAATAATATTATCTTATTGGTTTTCAACTCTGCGCTTTAACCTTTCCAGGTGTTCCTGTTAGAGAACGTGGAGGGGACGAATGCAGCAAGCTCTTGTGAGAAAACAGGAACCTGTGATGGTCAACCCTTCATTGGAAGGGGATCCCTCAGTGCTGGATCTGGAATGTAAGTGGTTGCAGTGGCCTAAGTCTGTCATTACTGGAAGTCCTGTTCCTACATCTGTTGTTCAGCGTGAGTCAGTCTGTCTTTGCTGCTGTCCTCTTGTCTGTCCAACCTGAGCCAGAGTTACTGCTAGCTAAATGGAATGCTTTTCTTGCATCCCTGATGTCTTCAAGAGGCTGTAGTTCCAGTTTGTCAAGATGAAGCAGAAGGCCTAATTTTGGCACTATTCTTTAATAGTTGTCTTGCTTGGACTCTGAGTTTCTCCATCTTCAAAACAGGGCTGACACTAATTGCCTATTTGCAGTGTATTTCCAGACGCGTGGCTGTAAAGTGCTGTATGAAAAAAACAGGCATTGTTATTATGAAACTTTCAGGAAAAAAAAAATTAATAGATTCATATAACTCCACAGTCATTAAAACAAACCGTATGTGGATGGAAGAGACCAGAGCTGAATAAACCCTGAGCAAACACAGCCTTTCACAATGAAACACAAACTGGTTTTAATCAATGGTACCAAATAAGTTTTGTTTTCCAAGGTTTCATTTTCCACCATCTCCCTCCTCCGGTATTATCAGCTGCAGAAGGTGATTGCTGCCTGACTTCTGCTCTTAATGAGTATCATTTTTAAACAACAACGTGCTCTGCTTGGGCTGCCCAGGTCTCAAGTTGCCTTCAGCTCCACTAGGATCTCAGCCACCCTTTGTGAGTACATCAATTTGTCCATGGGCCTTAGACAAAATTGGATCTAGGCTCTGTCAGATGGGATAGAGGGCTGCTAACCACCATCTTGCATTTCCCTTCTCTAGGGAAGCCATGAAGCTCTCTCCATTTTGCTTCAACCAAGGTTTTTCTTGTGCTTGTCTGGGAGGTAGAAAGAACTGTCTGCTAGGAAGGTGATGAGGTTACATTGACTGAGCTGAGCAGCCTGGAGGAAGAACTGGGAGGAAATGGCCAAGCCACCTTCTTTCTGATGCTTCCTTTTTTTTTTATTTATTTTTTTTTAGGAAAAGCTGTAATGCCTGCTTGCCAGTTGGTTTGTAGGCAGTAAATTCAGCGAGATCTCTTGCAATGAAATATGTAGAAGGGGGGCTTTTGGGTGACACATGCATCAGCCTTATTCTTGTCTGGGAAGCCTCCAGTCTGTGCTGCTTTCCCTGGCTGGAACACGTGAGCACTCTCCTGGTGATGCCATCAGACCATGGGAACATGAAGTAGGGTCAGGGATGACGTGCAGGTTGTTGGTAGCTGTAGGAGAGAAAGATTGTGTAAAAATGGCCAAAGTGTGTGTGTGTGTGTGTGTGTGTGTGTGTGTGTAAGTGTATCTATTTGCAGTCCTGTCCCCTGCTAAGAAGTCTAGTTCCAGATCAGTAATGGTATTTTTTCACCTCCCTCTTTGTAAGTTCATTGGGATGTAAGAATATTTTGTTCTCAACTAAGCTGAGTCCATCAGTCTGCATTTGTTGCTGGCAAAGGCTGTGAGCAGATGCACGTTAACTTTAAAGCAACTGCCAGCTTCTGGTGATGCTGAATTCTCCATTTTTTCAGCCCAGCTGGCCAATGCATATGTGCTAAAAGTGGTGATCTTAGGTTCAAACCTAGCTCAGCCTGAGGTTCGTAACAGTAGCACAGACATTTGCTGTCAACAAATACTCACAAATGGTGATGACAGTGCCCTAAGGCAATTTCCTTCTAATACTGCTTGAGATGGTGAGTGACTCATACAAGCTCAGAAGCTTCCTCTGGGTTCTCTGGCTGGGTGGGATGTCCTACTGATGCTCTGAGGTTCTTGCATTTAGGCAGGACTTGGTGTTCTGTGAGTCCGGAGGATGAGCAGTGGGTCGTGGCTGAGCAAGAGACAAGGGAATGGCTGAGACAAAGATCTGTGCTGATGACACAGCAGTGGGATAAGTTCTTAATATGCAACAAAAACCTTATTCCTCTCCTCAGAATTTCTGCTTTTATTTTATTTTTCTTTTAATTTATGGCACTTCTGTAGACAAAAACTGCCAAATACAATATATCCTGGGGGATAATATGGGAAAGGGAGCAGGGCAGGCAGTGAGGCAGTGTAACCAAACCCCCGTACCCAGTGCTTGCCTGCAAGAAGATCCAGCAGCTCTTGAACCAGTGGCCAGCAGTGTTGCTTGCAGATACTTCTCCCTTTGAGCTCATGCATCAGCAGCATGTCACCAGGGATGGTTCCCTGTGGCAGATGGGCCGTCTGCCACTTACTGAATGTGTCAGCAATCAGTTTGTTATGTGCCCCATCCAATGTGACTCCAGTGTTGCTCATTGCCTTTACTCCTTCCATCCAACTCAGTGCTCCTGCACTGAGAACTCCTCAGAACCAGCCATGCCAGCTGGTTCTAAACCATCTAAATGGAATGGAATGGCTTTCTAGTGTGCTAGCTAATTAAGTCATAGAGTCATTAAGGTTGGAAAAGACCACTAAAATCATCTAGTCCAACTGTCCAACCATTGTGCAAGTCCCACTCTGCTGCTTGCAGCCCATTCACATTTGCTTGCTGCAGCCCACATGGACTTGGAGGCAGCTTGTGGTGCTCTGCCATGAAATGTTACTGGGGGGAAAATACTCTGCTCTTTGCAAAATTAGTTTTGCCATCAATATATTCTGTTAAAAATATCGGTCTCTCCAAACTGAAAATATTTTGCTTTTTCCATTGCCGCAGCTTTCTCCAATTTTCCCGTGGTATAAATAGAAATGGGATGCAGATTTTTTTTTTTTTTTAATTTAAATTTTTATTTTTTAACCTTGGATTCTTGTTTTGTGAAAAGACAAACACTTGCCAAGAGGTAAACACATCTGGCAAAACCTTCACTTGCTAAGAAGTCATCTGACTTGGAAGGATATTTCCGAGAGAATATGAGAACGTATCGGATCGACTCTGCAAAGGAATGGCCTTCTTCACTCAGTAAGTGGCAGAAAGGAAACGATTGTTCCTCTTTAACACAGCTCCAAATCTGCAGCTTATAATATTCCCGTTGATCTCCTCTCTTTTTTTATTTATTTAGCTTAGCATATTCAAATCCAATTTGTTTTTTTTCCCTTTCATTCTCATGCTCGACTCCTTACCGTCTCATTGAGGTCAGCTTTGCAAAACTGTTCTTGTGCCATCTTACACCCAGAATGGTTGGAAAGGTGATCAGCACCAGTAATTTTCCACTTTCTGGCAGGCTCTATAATAAATAATTAAGAAAAATCATAAATAGCAGTAGTATTAGTTCACTGGTGCACATGAAGTAGCTGCAGTTTAAGGTTTGGTGTAGAAAAGAGCTGTGGGATTTTTTCTTTCGATGATGCATCCTTAAGGCCGTGTCTGTGTTATGCTTTTGCCATAATTAAATTATTGCTTATAAGAACTTTCGCTTGGTCAGAAGGAGGGAAAAAAACCCAACACAATTATAATAATTCCATTTCAGTGTTTTCCATAAGATCCTGGCCAACTTGGCCAATAACTAAGGCAAGGAACAGGGGAAAAAAAAGGTATGTATTGTATACTCACTTAAAACTTGGCTAGAAATGACCGTTTATTGTCTAATTTTTTTTTCCATGCCCAACTTGGCTACTGGAGACAAACTCAGTGCCAAGTTTCTATAGCGCATTATTTTCCTATGTATGATGTGTTCAAAAACACTTTCAAAAGCTTACCTCCAAGCATCCTACAAGGGTTTTGCATGGGTTTGGTGATGTGGATGCTGGTGTTTCAAAGCTAGATATGTTTTGCCTGTGTTTTTTTTCCCCCACTTTCATCCCTTGTGTGGCCCAACATGGAACACTCTCCAAATGGGCTGAGCTAGGAAATGAGGTGAAGGCAGTGCTGTGATGGTAATGTAAACCTCCTTTTGGAGTGGCCCCAGGCATCCTGTGGGCCTCTGCCTGGGGCATGGTGACATTGGTTAAGGGCATTCCGTCCCCACCTGGGTTGTGGCAATGTGCCCTGTGCTGAGTGTGAGCACCTCAATGGCTTTAAAGGCAAAATACAAGGGAGTGATGCTGAGGTTGAGCTTAAAGCGGACTCTTAAAGAGAGAGAACCAAAGCCCCCAACCAGCTCTGGTCATTTTGCCTCATCCTTAATGACCTGTCTGTGATGTAAGTAACACTTTAGTCGTGAAAAAAATAAGAGCTACTTTTTATGTATATATTTGATTTCATTTCTGGTTTTTATGAAGTCCCATGATTGTTTTTGTTTTGTTTTGTTTTGTTTTTTAGTGGTGTTGCCAGTTGCATCTGAATTGCTACAGACAGAAAGACAGCTGCTTGAAAGCAATAACAAGGGTGAGACTTTCACAGCTTTGATTTCCTATATGTATTTTGTCTTCTGTAAGCTATACAAAAGCAGAACTTCCAGAGATTCTGATCATGCAACTGCTTCTGAACATATTTCATTTGACTATCCACGGGCACAAGCTGAAGCTACCTATAGTACAGAGCCATTATCTCTGGCTTTTGAGCATACATGAGAAAACCAGTTATGGAAGCAGAAATAAAAGTGCAGTTTTCAAATGTGGTGCAGTTTTCTCTCTTCATTTTGGGACACCAAAGTTCTTTTACAGGCCTACCTGGAATGACTTTGGAGAAGAATCTCCATAACTGAGAGAGGAACCCAGACCACTGAAATGTGAAAGAAGGTAACTAAGTTCGTGATGGGTTCCGTTCCTTTCCATTTTCTGATCATTCTGTTTTCATATGCTGGTCCTTGCTATGATGTAGATGGACTGACTCTTCATTTGCATGCTGGTACTGGGTTGCACATTTTACTCTGTGCTCAGCTGGGATTCATTTGGTATTTTAAATGTAGGTCAAAAAAGAGACGACTTGAAAGAAGAGAGAGGGAGAAGAAATGGCGAGAGGAAAGGTCGTGTGCAGTGTGCTGCACACAGATGGCTCCTTATGGCTAGGACATGTGGCAGAATCCAAGCTCAGCTGACAGTTTGTTTGCACGACGCAAAGCTCTTTCAGGGACTGCTGAGCTTCTGAAAGTCTCTGGGTGCATTCTGCAGGATGTTCACGCTTTGCTGACCTCGCAGAAGCCTTGAACAAACTGCAATTTCTCTACTTTTGCAAACTAGGTGGTTTAGTGCAATGCTGAGAGGGGATGGAGATAGAACCAAACGTTCTGCTGTTTGCCAGGTGTCTAAAACCTGACTCCCCAGCTTGCCAAAGGGCATTTTGAGATCCCGTCTTGCCTGACACCTCAGCAGGGGCAACGAAACTCAACAGAAGATCCCTGTGGATCAGCTTGTACCTTTCTGCTGCTGAAAGGCTGTGCAGAAAGCAAGGATGAAGCAACTGTAAGATTTATGTTGGAACTGGATCCCCATGGATCAGAATGTGAATAACACCTCCATCCCCTCCCAAACCTTCCAGACCTGACCTTTCACAATCACCATTTCCTGACCAGTGACTCCAAAGAAAATAGAGCTGCTAGTTGGTATTTAATGGAAATCTGCACGAAACTTGTCAAAATACACCACCATGCCTGTCAGATGCCTGGGACAGGACCTCTACAGTAGTTTCCAGAAACCCAGTGCAATTACTTACATTTTAAATTATCTTTAATTGTAGCGTGTGAGCTACAGAAACATTTCTTCCCCCCTGTGAAGCAAGACCTCGCTATTAAGAGTCACCCCCTAATTGCAGCTCTAATGGGGAGCTGGGGCAGGTCAGCACCAGGGTTAGCACAGGGTGAAGCAAGAGTGGCCACGGAGCACTGGAAAGTGGAGATGACACAGCACAACAGTCATAGAGGGGCAGCTTTTGTCAGCTTCTTAGCACACTTAATTACCCCACCAGATGTTCTAATCCAATCTTCCTGCCCCTCCCCTGCCAGCAAATGTGACTTTTTTTTTAATGTTTCTGACTGTGGATTCAGAGGATGGCTTGGGTTGGGGAAGGGACCTTAAGGATCATCCACTTGCCCTGGAGTTTGTCTAGAATAAACTCAGTGAGTTGCTGCTTCTTGGGCTTTTCCTTTGCAGGAACTGAGCATCCTTTTGCTACCCAAGTGATTGCTCAGGTCTGAGTGTGGCTGCACACATGCTTGGTATGTGTAGGACTGAACTGAATCAGACTGAACTCATGGATTGACATGGACGTCACAGAGGGTGCAAGACTGATGAAAAATAGATGAGGTGGTGGTGCAAATCTGCTCAAGTGCTGAATGACAACTGTTAGCCTGGCAATGCTGAATTCAAGCAGTCCCTGTCAATAGTGTGAGAGATGCTGCACCAGATTTTCTGGGGTTGTTTGCAAATTGACCTAGTGTTCCTGCTGACACAAAGCCTTGGAAGTGCAGCTAAGAGCAGCATTGCTGAACATGCCTGATTTGCTCACAGATTGTGGTCAGATGTGAGCATGAAAGCAAATACTTGCCAGTATGCATCTAGGAGAGGGGAAAATAGTGAATTAACTATGGACACAGATGCATGACGTTACCTTCCAGGAGCAGATGTGCACAGCACAGGGAATGAACCAACATGGGGAGGAGTTTCCTCAGTCAGTGAATTGGTTTTTGGTTCAGTGAGAACTCCGGATGTGCACATACAACATGTTGACTGCATGCAAAAAATCTCTTCCTTTCTTCTTTAACACGAAAAAGAAAACCCACAAATCAAAAGTCTCAAACAGTTCTTTGTTAAAGCACCACTTGAACAATTTGCTTAATTTTCACCACTTACTGCATTAATTGCTGCTTTTTTATTTCCCCTTCAGCCCCATCCGGTTCCCCAGGCAGAGAGCATTCGGACTTGTCTCAAGCACAGCTTCAGCCACACACCTGCAGGATGGAAACAGGCAGAGCAAACAATGAAACAAGGCTGTTTATAAAGCCTTCAACACGTCAGGCAGGGAGAAGAGCCCAAGTTTCCACGTCAAGGCCTAAACGGACCAGAATGACGCGAAACACATGGAAAATACGGAAAATGTGGAATAAGTAATAAAATTATAAATAAAACAAATACAATAAATTGGGAATGCAGTTTTACTCATAATGATTTGTGTTCCTAGTAACCCAAGACTCCCTTACCTTTGAAAACGAGCATGTTTTTCCAGCGGGGAGCACAGTGCAGGTGATGGGGCTGCACAGGGCACTGGACCAACCAGAGGCAGAGGTGGGCAGCAGGGAACCAGGGCTGCAGCATGCCCATGTGAGTCCTTTCTGTGACAATGACTTGCATCAGGATCTCAGGAAAATCATTTAATCAGATGGTGGTTAGCATTAGTGCAGGAATTTTGGCCAGAAATGAATCTTGGCTTGTTCTGGACTGAGAAATTTGCACTGGTGTTGTTACCCAGCTGTAGTTCTCTTGGGTTGCTTTGTCTCCTGTGCTTGTCTGGCTGTTGGTGACAGCAGTCAGTGTGCCCCTCAGTGAATGGGTTCTCCTGGTGATACCTGGCTCTGGTGGGATGAAGCTTCTGGGCAATCCTTGCTATAAACACTGATCCTTGGGCTGTGGGATTGCACTGCTCTCATTAAACATTTTAATGAGGCTCTCTGTGATGACTTTATGTTCCTTCAGCTCCACAAAGGAACGCTCAAAAGCTGACTCTGGAAGAAAACAAGAAAAGTAATAAAGTATGGTCTGCTTTAACCACTGTTGCTGTTCTGTTGTCTGGTTAACAAGTGCTGGAGTTACAAAATAAATAGGCTTATCAGCCACATGAATATCCGTTGTGTTCAGAACAGCTCAATCGTTCAAAGTTCTGTTGGTGCCCATGGCAAAGGGCACCTATAGGGAAAGCCAAGAAGACAGAAGGAGCAATGGGGGTTGGACACAGCTGCCTCCATCTCAATTAATTAGGCACCAATTTAGATAGATTCCATTGGGAATGACTTTGGCAAAAGTCAAGAATAAGGTTTAAATTCATGACTGGCAGCCTGAAGAACTTACAGTCAAAGGGGCAGCAGAAGAGTGAAGCAACATGCCCAGGGTCCTTCTGAGAACGAAAGCCTACACATAAAGCAAGCTAGAGCCCTGTTGCAGACACCATGCCATGGATGATTAAATGCTGAATTGTCCCTTTGCTGTATGTCAACACCTTGGAAAAATTTCCTTTGATACCACTGTGATGAGTTGGTTTGCTGTGCTGGCATCAAAGAGTGCTATGAGCAGAGTATGAATTGCAGCTATTCTTCAAGGTAAAAGATTTGAGTTTCTATTTCCCACTGCCACTGGGACCAATACAAGTCTGATTGGCCAATGTATGGTGAAAAAGTCCCTCAGTGTGCCAGTATTGAAAACTGTTTGTGCATTAGCTGGAGCCTTTGCCAGAGAAATAATATCATCCCCTTTGTTTATTATACTGAAACTTGATAAAAGAAAGCATCAGAGGGGGGAAAAAAAAGAAAATCCATCTGTGGTGTGAAATGAATGTTCTCGCCTGGACTCCAGGATGCAGCCATGAGCAGTGGCTGTGGCACCACCAGCATCCTATGGCAGAACCACAGCATAGGGCTGCAGAGGGACCTCAGCCCCACAGTGCCAATGGGGATGGTCCCCTTTGAGGGGCTGCCTCTTGGAGCCCAGCTGGCCATGCTGCACGCTGGTTTTCCCAGCAAGGCAGGCTCGGTTCTAAGTCCCACAGCATTTGAAATACTCCCACCACCTCCAGTATTTTTCTGGAAAAGCGACCGTGCATTGGCAGCTATTTCTGGCTCCAAGGTAGCATTGCAAATTAACACATTTTCTGTTGAGAAAAGACCCTGAACCAAGCAAAGCAACCTTCTCAAATGAGAAAAGCAGCCTGTGTGCATTGTTAACAGGCTTGCAAAAGTTGATAGAACCACTTTACAAGAAGTACTAAAAACATCAGAGCAAAGCAAAACCAAGAACAAACAAAAACCCCAAGCTTAACACAGCTCCTGTACAAGAAAAGGATACAAAGCAACACACATGGCAGAAATACTGAGATTCCAAAAGTATCAAGCAGCAAAGGAGAGGAGGAAGCATTCGTCAGTCTGTGGGGGCTTCGGGACAGTTCTTCCCATTTTATTTCACATTGGGAAGTGGTAGCACAGAGGGCTTTTATGTTATGACAGAGATCTATACGTTCATGCAATAGAAAATGGCAACAACAACACTAACAGCAACAGAAACAAAGGCAAAAACTCAGCACAATGTGGCATATATGACTCAAGGAAACAGCCAGTGCCTGGGGATGCCCTTGTGCTGCGAGGGTGCAGGATCAAGCCAGCAGCAGCCATGCCACCACCAGCAGCAGCCATGCCACCACCAGCAGCAGCCATGCCACCACCAGCAGCAGCCATGCCACCACCAGCAGCAGCCATGCCACCACCAGCAGCAGCCATGCCACCACCAGCAGCAGCCATGCCACCACCAGCAGCAGCCATGCCCAGTCCAAGACCGTACTGCAACGCTGGTGGGGGCTCTCAGGGACCTCCATAGCACCAGTGGGAGCTGTGTAATACTTCTGTGCTAGCCATCACATCACTCACATTTACTCCTTTTGGCCCTGTTTGCTCCTTGAATAAATGTGCAGCTGCAGACGCTGAGCTCGAGCAGAAAGCTTAAGGATTTACATCCAACTGGGGAGAGGTTTATAGCAGAACAGCAGATCCTGCTGCTGGGGATGCATCCTCCTCTACTTCCTCCCTCCAATGCTGTGGAGCTAACAATGCTAAAGTCCCCAAAGAGCAAAAGATGCTATCGTTTGGGGGACCCATTTCAGCTCTTCAGCCAAACCACACCTAGGGCACAGGCTACAGGCATAACCTGTCTGGGGTGCCAAGGCCAGCAGTGGGTCCAGGCTGAGTGTAATGCTATAAAGTGATGTAAAGTATAGCAATAATAACAGAGCGGCACAACCCCAGGCTGCAGCAAACAAGAACAAGCCCAAATACAGCAGTTGTAGACACAGAAACAACGGAAAAAAAAAAACTGCTTACCTTTGAAAAGCCTTTGTTATGTAGGAACCTCCAGTGAGATACCCTCACCTCCACTGCCAACCCTTAAATGAGGGTTGGGAAGGGGTGGATCCTGGCTCCACCTCTTCTGGTCATTCAGGGGCATTGCTAGCACCTGAGCTCCCTTGGGTTGGCCCTGCCTTCCCACCAGGTGCTCCATCACTGCTTCAGGCTGTGACTTAGCATTTCCACTATACTGAGGATGAGCATTGCTCCGTATTTCATTCCCTGACATCTCTGCTCCATTAACTCAGGCAGGCCCCAACACTGTGGCAATAAATGCACATCCATGGCGGTGCTTGCCTGCTGCAGCACTGTGCTCTGAAGTGCTTCTATTTGGATGAACAGAGTGATTCTGAATTCAAAAAAGGTTAATTATGGCTGCATTTTTCTGTGCTTGGTTTATAATGGACAGGGAGAGGCTATGCTTAGGCTCCCAGTTGAAGCACGAAGAACCATTCCCAATCCTAACAGGTCCCTGGGATGAGGCAGAGCCCTCTCTGCATTTCCACCACTGATGCACTGCCTGATAGAAGTTAGGCATCAAAAATAAAACACCCACCAAGCCCAGACATCAGTAACAGAGCACAGAAATCCATAACAGCAGCAATGCTCAGAGGGCTGCCCTATGCTCGCTGCGCTGGATGCTGGATGCTCTCCCATTCCCCAGCCATCAGCCCTCACTCAAGCTGCCTTTATTTAAGTGGTTGGTGCTTCGCAGATTACTTCCAGGCCCCTCAAGGGTAGAAAGTCTTTTTACCTCCTCCGGCCCTGAGACCGTTCCAACAGCTGTAACTATTTCATTTTTAATTTACTTGATACAACTTGTCTCTGCTTAATCCATCAGGACAACGTTGAGGGTTCCTGACCCATAAATTCAGGGTGGGAGGGTAGGGGGGTGCTGGGGGAAAGGGAAAAAAAAAATAAAGAAGGGAAAGGATTTTGAAAAATTGTGTCTAGATTGCAGCCAAATGTGTTCTCTTAACTCACTGCAAAATGCAAGGCTGGGACCTGGGAGCGAGGAGGGACCTCAGCTTTTATCACGGTGACACACATACACCCCCAGACTGAGATGTTTCATCAACTTAAACCTCTGAAATTTGTCTGGAATAGATTTAATTCCCTTTTCCCTGCTAACCAATTCCTCTTATTTAACACAGACACTAAAGTGAAAAATAGCACCTCACTGCAAATATGCAAATATGCACAAATGCACCCTGAATTTCTGAAGGCAACACATCCCATCCTCCAGGTGCCATTCCCTCTCCATTGCCCACTGCCTAATGTTCTCTGCATTGAGTAGGAAATGGCACTGCACTAAACCAATCAGCTGACATTGGGCTGATCAGCTATGGGTGGGCATTGATTACAGGAAGCGCTTTGGGTGCTTTGATTACAGGAAGAACCCTGGGCAATGATGTGTGATTTAAGGCCCATCGTCGCACATTGAGCAGGAGAGACCGAAAATAAGCCACAATGAACAAAATAATTACACTCTAAAATATTAATGCATACACAGAATCACTGAATCATTAAGGTTGGAAAAGGTCTTAAGATCCCCAACCCATCCCACCATGCCTACAAACACGTCCCTCAGTGCCACATCCCCAGGGGTGGTGACTCCCATACTCCCTGGGCAGCTGGGCCAGCGCACAACTGCTCTTTCTGAGAAGAAATCTTTCCTAACAACCAACCTGAACCTCCCCTGGTGCAACATAAGGCCATCACCTGCCATCCTACTGCTGGTAGAGACCAACCACCGCCAACACGAGTGTGAATAACCACACAGCCACACTGTGATCACTCCCAAAACAAAGAACACACATCAAGAAAGCGGCTTAGCTTTGGAAATCTCACTTCTTTGCAGTTGTCCTTGTCCTCTACCAGCTCCCCACGTGTGGACAGGAGCACCGCAGGGGTAGAGCTGCTGTGAATTGAGAACATTTCGAGTTGGAGAATTTTTCGGCCTCACAAAAGGCAAAAAAAATTCACCCCAAAACCCCTCTTCAAAACCCCACGTCTCCATTTCTCACTTTGTTTCACTGCAGTCTGTGTAACAATGCCTCAGTTTATTGGGAAAGACAAGAGGGATTTTTTTTCAGAATTACACGTAGATATAGAAACCATATAGGAAAGGTTCTAATTATAACTATTAAACTCAGAGAATAAAGGGATACAGTATTCCTGGCTCACTTGGTGGTTAGGAGTTATGCAGTGCGTTCTCTGCTTTAAAATGTGTGGCAAACTGTGTAATTTTTTAAAG